AAGATACCTATACTACTTTAAAGAAAAAGTAGTTCCAGTAGCCAGTTTGTATTTTAAACATTCCTGAAATAGATTATCAAAACAATCAAAATGAAATGTTAGATGGGACGTAAACTGACCTTACCTCTGTCGGTTTAATTAATTGTTTGATCCATACAAAGGGGTATATACAAAAGTGAGTGCATAAAAATGCATTGTTTGTTTACAATGTTCAGTTTTATTTGTATATTGTATCATAACTGGATAGAACATAACTTTATTTTATGATAGTAGAAATTTTGCAATTTAATTGTTTGAATTATGATTTATTCATATAATGCACTGTGGAAACATTCCTGGGATACAAGCCAATGATATTACTTCAGGCGCACATGAGCTGTGAGTGTTTTAGTCTCTGGCACCTTAAGGATTCAAGTGTCGATTCCTCCTAGTTGATCCAAGACTGTGAATGCTAGTAGACCATGTAACAATGGGGGCATCACATCTGATTGTATGTGATACCCTACTTGTATTGTAATGGATCCTGGTACTTGTACATTACCGATCAGGACGCAGTGGTGAACTATTATGAAGTAGTGGATGTTTTACTGGAATATTTAGAGGTAGAATTTTCCAGGTCTGAGTACAAACAGGCTACAACAGCAACAAAATTACATTTGTAAAGCACCTCTCACATCGGGGTGACGTCCCAAGGCGCTGAACAGTCAATTAACTTACTGTTTTTATTTTCAAGCATGTTATCACTTTCCCCATTTTGTAGTGAAATTGTTTAGACTTGGTAGCAGGCAGAAATCGAATATATATTTTATAACCCTGGATATGGTCACTATTTTAAGGATGATGAAGTTAATTTAGCTGTTAACTTACTACATTTTGCTATTTAATTTATATCTCATTCCAAAGGCTTTCCAGGTGGCCCCATATATAACCAGATGAACCAATGTAATAAAACACAAACATAATAAAATGAAAACATACATACTGCTTTCCTTTGGGTGGGGAATAAGGCCCAGATGTGGCCTTAACACCTCCTTTGAATACACAGGAAGTTTCCCTATGGAAATAGTACATGCAGTCTCTGAACACAAATTATTCCTGAATTTAGCAGCAATATTGAAAGTTCCTAGATTGAACTAGAAAGCTAGTCCTTTCCGAATGACACTCCAGATTAAGGATGTTATAAGCATAAGATTGATCACAAATAGATTAATAGGAGCAAATTACAAAGCAGTAACAAAAACGAGCATCTGAAATAATTTATCAATGTGCAAGCAAAGCTATACCAATATGTAAATCTTTTATGAATCCTGAGATTAGTACCCACTTCTAGTACTCACTGTTATTTTGATCCTACTTGTTTTATGTAATACAATACATGTCAAGTGTAATGGACTTGGGTTGAACTGACTCCAAGATGACATGTCAAGTAGAGAACAGAACTGAATCTACGGTGAGCTGAATCTATTGTGGACACAAGAGTCCAACACTTCAACCAGGCAGGTCAGCAGTAATTCAAGCTATAATTGATAATTGATCAACCTGCCTGACTCATGAATGGTGTTTGACGCAGTAGACATGCCAATTGGAGGGGCAGGATTCTTTCTATTCAGTTTCTGACATCCCAGCAAGGTAATGTCCACTGGACAAACAGGAAGGAGTAGGAAGCATATCAGTACCTCATATTAGAATCCTGCTTGGTTATGTAGTACTTCTCACCAATAGTTACTGCATATCTTAAAGAGTTGACAACTGACTTTGATCCCCTCAAATTAGATTATACATGAACTCAGTTTTCCAAAGTTCAAAGTTACCATCCACTGCCTCATTTATTTAACCTTTTATGCTCAATCTCATGACCTTGCACTTTTATAATCACAAAATTGCTTCTATTTAGCTCTAAACATCTTCAAAGCTAACGGCCAAGAATCCAAGCATTATAGGCCAGAGGGTGTTCATTTAGCTTATTTTAAAGTCACTGAAACAATTAAATATAATGACCCATTATGATCAAATCCAGAGCAACAGAAACCTGACATTTATTCCATGGATCATGCAGCAAATCCATTGCGAGTTAAGAGGAACACAATATAAAGCAAGAACAAGAAAAGTAAATGGTTAAAATGAAATGTTGTGCAATGGTAACAATTTTCAGATGTCCATGAATAAATACAACAACTAAATTTCATTTACTAAAGGAAAGATTTGATTTGGATTAGAGAATGTAAATCCTAGTGGCAAATGGTGTCAGTTGTCAAGTAATAATATGAAATTACTCTAGTGTTCAGTTCTAACAATTTGTCATATACTTTCTTGAACATTAAATTATGATTTCACATATTTTCCCAATGAAGTCACACATGCAAGTTGTCGGCAGCTAGAGTAATGGATTTTGAATGTGTTTTTCCTAAGCATCGTTGTAAGTAAGATCCTAGCGAGGTTCATTGCTGGGTGTTGGAGGGCAGGCTGTATTTCACAATGTGAAGGAACATCTTCCTTAACAGATGTTACTTTCATTACTTCCATGTGATACAGAATAAGGATACCAGATACCCAACAAGCCATAAACCTTGAAAAAATGGGTGCCTGCAACAGCATATACATATCCTAACCCAGCCTTGGTTCACAAATGTTTTTTTTTGGGGGGGGGGGTGGGATGGGAGGGGGGATGAAACAAATTTTCCTTTGTGAGTTGGGTGACAGATAAATCTAATTTCTTCAATATAGTACTCAGTATATTCATTCACGTGAACATGCAGATGAATGCAGTTATGCAGTTTGTCCTTTTGTAATATTAGTAACTTTGGAGAAACTGCAAAACTGCAGGGTCTGGGCAGGCCACCCACCATGTTAACTTTTTGTTAATACTTACAGAAACTAAATCCAGACATGGACCTTTTGTATCAACAAACATGCTATCGTACTATAGCAGTCAGAAGACACAACGCCGTCTAATAAACCAGTCCTGAACATATCCATGTTACCCAGCCTCATATAAGATCTGAACAGAGCAGAAAGTCCATCATACACATATCCCACCACCCTCGTCTTGTTCAGCTCTACAGCTTTAAATCTTAGTCAATGGATAATGCTACCAATGCTAATAGGATTTAGTTATTTGACAAATGGAAAAAAAACAACCATTAGATGTCTCAACAGCTCAGTTGGCATCATTGTTCCAACATTTCTGGAGGACTAATTTGACTTCTGCACTGCACACAGATCCAATAATCTCCACTTGATCTCAAAAATCAACAGGCTTCAAATTTATCTTTGCTCACCTCCTGTGAAAATATCGAAATGCAAATCAATCTTAATAAATACAGAAGTGGTTCCTTAGGCTTGGGCCAGTATTTCTGAGAGGTATGGTACAGATTACCTACACAATAGGTAGTCTGCCTCAAATAATGGGCAACTTCATGGGTTTGAGACTGTTGAGCATTTAATAATTATTCTTTGCTGTTCCTGCATTAGCAAAATGTAGGATTAATGGATACAGGATCAAGTTTCATTTGGAAATGTAGGTTAATGATTTCTCTACTAGAAAATTCTGACCAGATTTAATTCTCCAAATTAAAGCTGGTCAGAATTTCTGCTAATGTTAAAAAGCATAATTCATTCCAGAATGCACTTTGAACATTTTATACCAGCAATGAATGCATACTTTATAGGACTGAACACTCAGCAATTCCCACAATTGTATAAAATTGTTTCAAGGGGAGCCTGTGAAGCTAATCTTGTTTTTATGTGTTAGCCACTGAACCAGATAATCTCACTTTTCATTTCTGAGTGTCTAACTAGATCGCTGCGCAAATTAAACAGGTGTATTGTGTAGCTATAATATATCCACTTTCAGGATATGTCAAGTTACAGAAAGCAAAAGCTTAAAAGTAAAAATATTAAGTCATGTTTAACTCCATGAAAATATTCTGTACAAATGATACAAAAAGTACAATATTTATCTTATTATCTCCCCCCAAAAAAGTACTCAGTGCTCTACATATTCAAATGAAAATGCAGTGTTAGTGTTTATTTTATCAGTGAAGATTATCACGGGAGTAATAAAATATGGTCAATGTGTAGATTTGTAATCAGATTTAAATTATAACGTGATTATGGGTTCACTATTTCTGCTGATTCGCCTGCTTTCGTGGACTTAAGTCAAAGTCCCATTTTTCTGAATTCATTGGGAATCATAAATACCACAGATCAGTTTTGATCCGCTTCCTTGTATTTTTTTCCCATTTAAAATATGCAATTTTCGTCATTTTTAACCCCCCTCCCCTCCCCCAAGTAAGTCAGTTGTATCATTCAGATGCAACCTTTCACATTAAGCGTATGTGTAATATTGTGTGCATATACATTTTAGTGCCTGCTGAGTTGGGGACTAAATTGTTACAAAGCCAGGTCATGTCTGTTTGTGCAGGAACAGTTTTAATTGGGTACATTGGTTGGGATTGATTTTTTCCTTCTGCAAATTAGTACAGACCAGCTGGTCTGTTGAATTCCTATGCTGGTTGGCAATACTGGTGTTCAGGAATCTTCAATCACTGGTAGAAATGCACTTTATTTCTAAACTAAATGCTTGCTCCATGCATTACAATGGAAATGCCTCGTAGCTTTTAAATCAGGACTACAAATGGCAGGGTGCTAGTAGCTGGTAAATGTCAACAGCTCTAAGATTTGTTTTTGGTGGGAGTGGGGGTGGGAGGGGGGAGTGTGGAGGAATTTTCAAATAAGTCTCAATTCAATCCCTATGTAAAAAGGAACAAAATTATACTGAAACAGGATTTTTCAGTCAGCTGAGCGTGTGCTGTTCCCTGAAGTGCAAATGTAGTGGGGAGATACTCCTTTGCAAACCTTTGCTCAGTTGCCTGAAAGAGCTCATCATAACCGAGGTACAAGTTCTACGTACGAGTACAATTACTGAAACTCAAGAGACAATGTATTTTATTTCACGGTAAAGGTGAACAAAGAAGTGGATTAGGAAAAGGACTATTCAAACCTGAGAGTATTATGCTAGATTCAAAGCTGACATTGATTTTCCCGATGGATCTGGAAGGAGCACTTCATCCACTGATCTGTGCTTCCTTTACAACCAATTAACTCCATCACCTCCTGTCCATCTTTGTGATTGTTTCTCTCTCTTGTTGATTCAGACATACAGCAAAACAGGGAACCCGTAGCGTTAAACGTTTATGGCTTAACGTGCGTTTAAAATGATTCAACATGACATTATATTGTAAACCAACCCCTTCCTCGTCGAAATGTGGGATTCGGAAAACATCAACTGTTGCACTCGATTGCGATTTGATCAGGATCAAGAGTGAGGGCACTGCTGGTGTGATGGGATCCAGACAAAGGGTTTGTAAACGGAAAATAGGGACAAACGCGACTCTTCCGAATTATTAATGCTATGTGCTATTTCATTAGTGCAGTGATGTGATTCGTTTTGCCAATGAACATGATCAAGTACGCGCAGGATGAGACGATCGGTTGAGTTTATGAATTGATAGAGGAGCGAACATTTGGGCATTTTGAAACGAATTATTGCAGGAATAGAGTATCCTCAATCGAGGTGTCTAAACCAGTTATTTGCGGACCTTAGCATTGTGTAGGAATATGATGAAGCGTCAGTTGTATTTTTTGTAAACTGATATTCCAAACCGAATCCTTGGACGGAGGGGTATCAGTTTGTTTTGGGGTGTGGGCTTATTGCTAGTTCTCTTCTGCAAAACGTCTTATAATAAAATTACACACAAACGTTGCTATTTACACTGAAATTGGTAATTTAAGGAAGTTCAGATGCGTTGCACGCCACCAAGAGTTTTATAACAGCTCTGTTTGTCGTTAGATCTCACGTTAGTTTTACACCCAATACACAGTGACACTCAATGAACATTTCCTGCTGCAATTTCCTGTGGCCATTAATTTATATGACCTTTAATATTCTCTGTTTCCTAACGGATCATTTGTTCCAAATGTCAAAGTTTCGAAAGTTCTTTCAAAGAAATGCCTCTTAAATGCAACTGTATTAGAGACTGGGATTGGCTGCCGGTTGCCATTGAGCTTTTCCAACTCCCAAAGTTCTCTCAGTCACTGGCGTGTTGGCGTTTGGTGGTGGGCTGTTTTGAGTGATCAATTTAAATGGATGTGTTGCTAGTCTAGAAGATGCAGCCAAGTTGTAGCCATATAAACTGTAAGGGCGACGCACAGAAAAGTTGTACAAGTCTTGGTGCATTGGATTGTCTTGAGAAATTGTGCTTCGAGGCTGCATGATTTGAAGATGGGAAAAGGCAGCATTGGGCACTTGCACTCCATGTCCATTGAGGTCTCCAGCTTTTCCATGGTTTGTCGTTAAAGCGTTAATTGAAGAGAAATAGGGGAGACGAAACATCAGAGATGGGGATCTCTGAGTGGCAAAGATTTCTGACGGTGAAGTGTTGACTCTCACCCGGTCATATGATGGTGGATAGGTAAACCGCTGAGGACCCATGTTTCTGCCAGAGGTGTAACAAATGGGGAAGTCTACATTACAAAGATGAGCGTCTCGACAAGTCATCCCAAGAGTGTTTGAGGTCACATGAAACAAGGGTGGAGAGCAGGAGGGAGAGATTACCGAGGTCAGAGAGCATGGAGTCTCAGTGTAGGTTACTTGCGAGGAGTCTGAGCACCTACCTGAAAATTAAAATCGTACATAAATTAAGTTTTGTGTGGAGTAATTGTACAACCTTAACATGAGTGCCTGAGATATCAAGGGCTGTGTACTTGCAGGCAGCAAGCATGTGTTGTGTGCTCATGCATTAGAAACGGGGACTTGCTTTCAGATTGGAAATAATGGTTATTTTATGCAAATGCGATTATATTCGGTTGTTGCAAAAGTCTTACGTACCTCTAGTTTGTATATTAAAAGCCTGAAAATCCAGTGTTGGTACCGCAGCTCTCCAAGGATAGCTGTCTATGACTCCTTCCAAACTCACTCTGCATGGAATACAGGAATACAATCTTATTTTTAAAAAGTTATGGTTTTAATAATCGCGTTGTTCAGAAAAATCAAAACGAATTAAGATCGTGCATTTGATATGCTTTCATTCCAACAAAATCCAGCGTTTTTAATAGTTTTTTTTAAAAAACGATGACTGACTGCATTTAACAAAATGAAAACCATCTTAAAAGATTTCTGACCTGCACAAGCAATGGTTAAAGGAGTGTTATTTGTAAATGTGCTTCTAACTCTGATTTGAGAACTTTGTGAACCAAATAATTTGAAACGCCTTTGGAATTATGCAAAATATACAGTCATTTTACAGCATATCCTGTGAAGCACTTTGAGATGCCTCAACTACCTGATAAATGATTACTCTCGGTCTGTCTGGGTGGATGTGGAACAGTTTAAAAGTACCTGTTTCTTCCAGGGTCCCTAAATCCTTTGGCAAATGGATTTCTGTCGATTTTCAACCTCGTAATCTACAAACGAAAGGAAATATGAAGCTCCAAATACAACCAGAAAGGCTCACGTTATATGAAACGCGAATAATTTACGAGGGTTAGTCAATCCCATGAAGAACATATGAATATAGTGGCGAGGGTTACAGCTACCAGAGGCTCAGTGTTATTGTTGAGTGGCTACTTGAGAATCAAAGTGATTTAACATCAGAATAAGTAGTTAGTAACAACGATAATCAATCTATTACCTTATAAAACGACTGTTTCTTAAGAGCAACGAAATATTTAACACTACGGGTGCCAAAAAATTCACGAGGAGGCGGGAGAATATTCCAATATAATTGTGACAAACTTGAAATATCAATTGGGAGAGATTCCTATTGTATTTTGATGTGATGTGATGTGAAGCCGAGCTGGACCCTGGGGGTGAGCGTGGCTTTTTTGGAAGCTGTGGGATCTGCACAGTACCTGTTGGTTCTGGTAAGCTGTCACTGTTGTGAATTCAGTCTCCGGAAAAGAAAACGTTTGTACTCCATCTGTCGGGAGAAGCTGATTTACCGACAGGTTAGCGTCCGCCTGCTTCAAGATCACATGCAGCCGCGGTTTATACTTGTGCATGGACTGCAGAATAATCTGGGGGAAAGAAAAGAAAGACTTCACCCAATTTCTCGTGTTTATCCACGTTAAAGTGTATGTGGGTGTGGGTGGTGGAGGTGGTGGGGGGTGGGTGGGGAGTGGGGAGGGTATAAGTTTGACACAAATTAACATATTGGAAAATAGATCAATTGGAAATGAAGTGAGAGTTATGGAGGAAAATGGGACAACTTATTTGCACCAATAACATCCTATAAACAACCAATCAGAATTTGGTTTAATGTGGCGGCTTCTCGCCGCTAAACCTTGTAAAGCGCTTAATACAGAATTACGCTCAAACGCAGTGACTGTTATAGGCAAAGACAGCAGGAAGGTCAAGAAAATAATTCTGCAATGGAGAGACCCATACGTGTGTTTTGGTTGAAGGATAAATACTGACCAAGACACACGATTTACTATGATTGCCTTTCAAATAAGCTTCTGACTGGTGTAACACTATGAGATTACAAAGACCCGTGTCCATATCAAACACATCCTGATGTTGTTGACTAAATAAAACATATAACTATTAATTTAATTTAACCGACAAGAGGATTCACACTGACACATGGCAAGGTCAGACACAATCATTAGAAGTGTCGCCTGTGGTTCAGAGGCAAATCAAACGACCATATTTACAGGGCCACAAAAGTCAAATGTTCTTCAAAGCAAAGCATTCGCAGCAATTTAGTTACATACGCACGTGTAAAGGGTTAAATTGTGGCAAACATCCTGTTTTTTTTTCTCTCTCTCGGTGAATTCGACTTGTATGGCTAAGATCGCATTTAAAAGAACGAATGCCTACATGTCCCTTATCATCCATGTCGTTGTTGGTGAGTTTCACTCGGTCGAAACTGACGATCTGTTTCATCCAAGTTTCCCCTGAAGCAGGAGAATCGGGGTGCACATAGAGCCGGGGGCTGAGCGAGGACTGTTCGGTGTTCCCAGCCACCATCCACTGAGAACTGTGATACACGTACCTGCCAACAGCATACAACAAGTCAGCAAGTCAAACAAGCTCCTTAATTCACTGTGGACGGGGGGGGGGGGGGGGGGGGTGGGAGACGGGGGTGAAAGAGATAAAGCCCAAAGCTTGAGAGTTATGAGACTGGGACGTCGTGTTCAATGTTGCATTGCTCCATCTGCTTTGCTTTGCCTTGAGATATTTGCGACGATATCATCTACATTCGGCTTGATTTATTTGCGGCACATGGTAAGCGTCTCAGAAGCTGCCTCTCAGCCACAATTTTGCTTTTTCCTCAACTTCTAATTTTAATGGATGCAAAGACGGCGCGTTGTATTATCACAGTTCAAGTTGCTGAACCCCTTGTATTAATTCCATTCAAATAATTGAGGAAAATGGAGCGCTCCCACCCCCCCCCCCCCCCACCCCCCAAAAAAAAAATTCCTGAGGCATCTCATAAACTTTGTTCGCGTACATGTTATGACATTTCTATATCTTAGCATATATTGAATGTTTTATACTTCTAAAATAAAATACCGCTTTACTACTGCACGAGTTCCCATTTAAATAAAATAAGTCGATGAAATCCAAAACAGAGCGAGCTCCCAACATTTGCTCAGGGATTTGGACTGGTCTGGTTTCACTCTTTAACAGCAATGTGGTATGTGCCCCGTTTCGCCCAGACAATATAGAGTCAATTCACTTTACAGCATATTCTGTGAAGCGCTTTGAGACGTCTAGAAGACGTGAAAAGCGCTATACCAAATGCAAGGATTATTATTATTATTACCTGTATCTCTTGGAATCCACTGGGACAATGTCCATGGCGATATAATACTGCTTCATGAGATCCAGACCCTTAATTTTCACACGTACTGCGGGAAACATGCGCCTGGTACAGAGATGAACCACCCAGTTAATTCGCTTCTTGCCCATCATAACAAGCCGCATGTGTATTGATAACGAAATGTTTTCAGATTCCATGCATTTCTGTTATAAAATTGTAAATGCACTTCCTAGCATCTAAACTGCTTGTGTTATTGTCAACACGAACTGTCCGTGTCTTCTATTCTGTATTTTCTCAATCCGGGCAAAGTTTTTAAGGTATCTATCTGCAGTAAAGATACATTGATAGGCGTAGTTATAATTTAAACATATAACAAACCACAGATTCAGTTAACCGACAAGGCATTGACTACATTTACAAACGATGAAATAAACTGTGGGATATGTACAATCGAATCCCAGACGATGAAATAACCAGCAGTGGAGTTCACTGCCATGGAAATAGTAAACCAGTACAAGCCATTAAACCAGTCAGGTTTGTAGAACAAGGAAACCAATCAGTGTCCTTGTCTGGTACAGACAAATTGCCCTGAACTCTGTTTTCTCTCATTATTATTATTATTATTATCTCCATCATCCCAATAAGGTCCCCAAACTTGTGCCGAAGTATGGAAGTGACGCTCCATAAATCGAAACCCTTTACTAAACAATAAATGGAAGGTACTGATTCAATGTCGATTGAATGCAACGTCGCCTTCGTACGGATTAACCGGAGGGTCTCTGAGTCGGGCTGACAGAGTGTGTTGCTCACCTGCCAGCTTTGGTAATGATCATTTCCGTCCCAATCTCGTGAAATCGTTTCCAAAGCTCTGCTCCCTGCAGCTCCACCTGCACAGCCAGACAGACCGAGCTGATCCCCGGGCAGGGAGGCGGCGACAGGCAGCTCCGGGCTCTGGCCCTCTGGCCCTTAGCTTCTTCCCCTGAATACATGCAAAATGGGAAAGTATTTATTTCCTCAAACCACACGAACAAAAAATCCCCAAATCCACTCACATCCCTTCCCTCCTCCCTCCTCCCCCCCCCCCCCACCACACAAAAAGAAGGAACTGTTTCTCACACACAGTCCTGCAGCACGTCTCCATCTGATGTTTATTTTGGCCACTTGTTCCCTCGATGGCAAATATTGGACAGAACATTGAAAAGTAAGGACTCACGAAAAAAAACACACACATATCACCGGTTTCTCAATAGAGGTAACTCTGTTTGGGCTTCACATGCAGTCGAGTTTAGATTTTCTGATGACAGGTCCTCCCGTGTGTCTGGCTCTTTTGCTGTCTGAATTAATAGGGATTTCGATGCCAAATTTAAACGAGGCAAAAAGTAAATTGAACACGTTTTAAACTCGATGGGGGGTTTTCACCCGAATGATCTCACTTTGGGGTTTTTTTTTAAACAAAAGGCCGACGGTTCTGATCCTCACTGTTGAAATACACAGCAAAACAACAACGGCTTCTAACCCCCGGTTAACGCTCGATGTCTCTGCCATCAGGACATGTAGTAACTAACCAGATTCGTTCCCCCCCGTGTCCTGAACCGGATCAGGGGGTGTGAGTCTCCCCATCGGATGAGCCCTCGAAGTTGCATCTTCGTGGTCTTCCAACTTCCTCTTCAGGGACTTCCCCACCAGAGATTCCACCGAGAAAGCGTGAGCTCGAGAACTCAAAGCCATCGTTACGTGAACATGAAACCTTGGCACAGTCAGACCGGGTTCAGGAAAACACGCGGCGAGACGGACTGAAAGGTACCGTGCGGGACAAGCCTCGTGTCTCGGGTTGTGCTCCAGAACGAGTCCCATTCCAGTCACCAGCAAAACTTCGCCAGAACCGGCTCCTGGGTCGGAGGGTCTCGGAGTGCAATCCAGTCAAAGCCACACTTCATGTTCCCGATGGTCCTCCTCCTCCTCCTCCTTCTTCTTCTTCTTCGGTGTCCCGAGTGTTGGGTGAGGGAGACGCGGGTTGTTTTCCAAACCGAACCGACCCGTCGGTCGTGAAGCCAACGAAGGGAATTGCGAGTGAAGGAGTCCCCGGGACCCTAACCGTGAGTTGTCCCCGAGGAAGAGTTTCTCTGCAGTGGTCAAAAGTGCAGATAACGCTGTGCAGGTCCCCCGCACCGCTTTGTGTCTGCGTTATGTGAACGCGCGTATCGGAATGACAGAGCGTGTGGCACAGACCAGACACGGGTCCGCCCACGTCTTGTTAACGTGACCCCGGGTTCGCTCCCACTTTGGCAGAGAGACGATCTTGAAAGGGAAATGATCTAATCGGGGACGAAAATCGCATTAACGCGGTCCGTGAGGGGTACCGAAAACTTTTTGTTTTCGACCAAATCCGAGCATCGACGTAAAAAAAAAAACCCCCCTCGCAAAAGTCTCCCCCCCCCCCCCCCACCCCCGTAGGCAAACAAAACCTTTCACTCGTGCGCTCTCGCATGTGGTAGGGTTTGTAACGAAATGTATTCCCTTTTCGTCGAACAAGAACTCAGGATGTCCGCCTCACTGGGGCGGGTGATTTCCTACAGTATATATTAGCCTCGATGGGTCCTTCTTTCAGAGGTCAGGAATGTGGATCAATAGAATACTGTGCAATAGTTTTGCTGTCCTTATTGTGCGCGTTTATCTTTGCAATTGTCACCTGTGGATGTAATCAGGACCCCCCCCCCCCCCACACACACACACACACACACACACTCACACACTCACACAGCCCCCGACCTTTGCACACACTCTGGTCTGTCTGCCGTTTGGGGGCCAAATGGTATCGCCGACCCTGAGAAAGTGGGGTTGGAGGTGCAGCTGTAAGAGTTAGTTCAGTGCTGACAGCAGTACAAGGTGAGGTCAGAGGGTGAGACCACAAGGCAGGACTCACAGGACCCGGAGAATAAGGTTCCACTTCAGACCGTCTCGCCGTCCAATGGAAATGTTGACGTTTTGGAGGTGTTCCAGCAGATCCTATCCTTCTTTTTGAGTTCGTCCAGGAACATTTACCTGGCTTTAACTAGGCATGTCCCCCCCCCCCCCCCCCCCCCACTCCCCTTTGCTTTGATTGTTATCCATTAATTATACATTAAGGATACTTTCACAAACTTTTGGCAAATAGAAAACAGTACGGAAAACAATCCCGGAATATGATTTGGCTCTCCATATATCCCAAAGGGACTCGTATACATTCTGATGTAGATGACAGCGGTTCTTAAACATTCCTGGTTAACGCCGTCAGTTACCCCCAGGGTCCGCAAACCTAAAATACTTTTTTTGTCCAATTTCCCCCAAAGATTTAGTGGGACTCGACTCTGTTAGTAATTTGTACTTGATATAAATTGTTGGAAATAAATCTAAAACACGACCTGATCAAACTGTTAAATCCCATTTCACAGAAGCTCGGATAACTGATAGTGACACCGGGAATAAATTGTTTTATTCACCTTGTGTATTCATGAACTGCAACTCCTGTTTGGGGTTTCGATTTCCCGTTCTCTGCCAGTGAAAAGAAAATTTGAACTCAAATTATAATAACACTCAATTTGCAATGGACTTGTCGCTTTGCACACAGTTACACACCTACACACACGTTTATACAATTAAAACGTGAACTGAAAAATGAAGTAGACATTCGTTGCAGAAATTGAAAAAATGCACACAGAACATCGATTTTGTTTTGCAAAAAGACATGGTTATAATAATAATAATAATCCTTGTATTTAGGATAGCATATTGCACGTCGGGTAGTCGTCTCAAAGCGCTTCACGGGATTCTTTGTAAAATGTAGCACTTGTTAAGTGAATGTGACAGCCAATTTGCACCCAGCAATGAACCGATATTGCACGATATTTCAGAGATTGTACAATCCATTTCGATGTATTTTTGTGTTTGTTGCACTCGGTACAAAATAGTACTTTGAATAATCGAACTCCCCTGTTACATTTATTCCTGACCATTTCTGCAGATGTGATTGCAAGCTCTGCATGTTTGCACATAATGTGTTGCATTGGCTGCACATGCTGTATAATTCATAAAATAATATAGAATTTCTTTCGGACTTTTTGCCCCTAATATTCTGTGCTACCCCTAATTAAATCGAGTAAGGTACTATAACAATATATCTCACGAAACAGTTATATTAAATTGCCAATTATGTTTTGGGGCACAGATTTGCAGTTGAAATTTACGTGATCGGGGTCCTCAGAAGCAGTGCGCAGGGATGTAAGTGTTCATTATTCAGCCGAGGGGACAACTATAATAATTGGTCCCAGTTTGTACAATTTTCAAAACATTTAGCTTGTTTGTTTTTAAATTTAAATTTAATGTCCAGAAGGGGCAAACGGAAAGCAAAGGTAGAAATAACACAAGGTTTGGACGGAACAGAAACACAGCTGACTGGAGCATAACTGGTTCCATATGTACAAATATTTTCTTTCATGAAAGCTGAATCCATGCGTACAAGCAGCCGCTTCTCGGAGGTTGTATGTATATAACTTTGCGGTATATTTCCTTTCTGTATTTCGATTGGGTGATTTTAACAACTGTTTATGGTTTTTTTTTGCTTTATTGAAATTAATCTAATATTTCTAGTAATTTAATGCTGGTGACTGACAAAAAAAAACAACCCGAAAAGGCTCTAAGCTTTATCTGATGTCGACTATACCTCTGATAGTCGTAACTTTAAACATCTTAATGGTAAATGAAACCAATAGAAAACGCTCCGGTTGGAATATTCAGAATATGTTAACGCTATTTGATCTCCTGACTCCAATGTAATGTATGAAAGCCTCGGGGGCAATTCTATACATTACAAGACTGATTATTATTGCCATTTGCAAATCCTGACTGTACTTTATATTCATAGAACTTTTGCTTCGGTTTTGCGGTTCTGCAAAACGAAGTCAATGCAAAAGATATACGACATAACGCATATTAAATAGTTCAATAACGCACCCAAAAAAAATGAAATTAAACGTTAAAAACCGATCAGGGTAAGGCAGCCGAATTTCGAAAATATTCGAGCAAATCTATTTTTATATATATATATAAAAGACTGAGTTTAGCAAAAAAGGTTTACAACGAAATCATTATTTTCATCTGAAAATGTATCTCAGATACAGGAGCTCCATCAATTATCCATGTCCCGACTCTGACTAGTAAGTAGCTTTCTTGGTAACTCGCTTGTAATATGATTAATTTAAAATTACAAAGATCATATTTCAAACAGATATTCAGCAGAAAATACCGTGCCACAGATTTTCTGGAATAAGCTCTCTCGTTTTTTTTTTTGGCCTTACGCTCTATTTTTGTCTTATACAGCAACCTATTGTGCAGCGTTTTTTTTTGCCGTTTTAAACGCTACCTTTTGATAATCATTAAAAGAATTACCCTGAAGAGCGGTAATTACCGAAAAAGTCTAAGAGTTTCCAAAATAATATTATAAAACTCTATTCAATCAGTTCCCTTCACTTGAGTGCGTCGTTTTATACAGATTGGAGGATGGCGGAAGGAATCTAAGGCAAAATCTCTCATCAAACTTTACTCTCAGCTCAAAATTACTTTTTAATACATTTACATGTAATCTCCTTCAGGAATGTACGAAAATACCAGCGATCTGTCCCCAATTAAGAACGAGAAGCTCAGTACGTTTTAAATAGCATCCTCTTTCTGTTTTGAAACCATTAATATGAGCTTTGCACTCTGTCGAAGGAAAACAAGTCTAATAGGCACAATGTCAGAGATAATTTCGGGTTGCAACATATCCTGACTTTCACATAACTGCGTCTCGCGAATCTCGTGATTTGGGAATTTTCATTCATTAAAGTACTTTTAAAAGCAAATTCTAATCCAGTGTTCATGGCGTCACCTAGTCCATAGTCAAACTATGTCATTAGCTTTCTTATTGATATTTATAGGTGGAACTTATTTCAAATGCACGAGGACATAGCCATCAAAGTGATAATAAAGAAGAGGGGGAAATGCATGATCCTTTAATTAGCAAAAATCTGATCTATTGACCTGAAAAATGATGTATAACATATGTACGGTCTGCGTTTGTACAAAATAACGGGGCATACCTTCATTTTGCTTATATGCTTTCAAGCGATTTGGGTCCATTGAATGAGTTATACTTAAATAAATATTTTAAAAATGTTATACCTCGAGGATGTTGTCCCCCCCAAATTGTTGTTTTGCATTTATTGCCAGCATCTGTTCATTTCCTAGAGGAGCGTCTGGTTTTAATGTGATGGTATTTTTGACTCAGGAATAAAAATTAAACGTCCTCTGTGCTGTCGCCCTTTTTTTAAAAAAAAAACTGTTTTCCCAGAGGGGGTTTGATAAAGCTTCGATTGAATTATTGAATTGTCCGGATAACATTGACTATGTTTAAAATCCTGAAGTTAATTTACCCTCTTTTTATATTTTAAAAAAAAAGGTATTTACATTTTATTGCTGTACATTTAATGATCACCTTGTTCCGAATTTATCTGAACAGGCAAGAGGTCACTGTTTGGTTAATGCTGAATTTATGTAACTGACCTGAGATGACAAGTAGATAGATCATGGGAAAAGGGATATCTGTAACCAGGAAAAAAACAGTAGGTCTTTGATTCTGGATATCGGGGCACCACCATTCCAGGAGTACATTGAAAGGATTATGCTATAATGTTACATCTTAACGGACCATTTCCCCCTCTATGCTTCCTTTAAACGTTTAAAAGTTCTGATTAGTGAACCGAAAGATTGTAGATCTTTCGAAAAAAAATTGGGAAACCTCCTGTTCGGTAAAGGCAAACTGGGTATGCATTACAGTCGCATTATTGCAACGTTGTTTGTTCGATTTTGTTTTGTTTCTGTTTCAGGCCTTTCTTTGACTGATTTCATTCGCAAATCGCATGCGAAGCAGATTAAACCTCAGCAGAGCCAGAGAGAAAAAAAAANGCCGTCGCGTTTTATTTGCGGGAGGGTGAGTTTGGCAAGGAATAAAATAATACCTGCACTTCCTCACCGTCTGATACTTTTTTTTCCCTCCCCTTGAACATCAACAGAGGAGAAATTTCCTCTGTGAGCAAAGTAATAAATATATGTTCGACCTAGTTGATGTTAAGCAAGTTTCACCTGATC